GTATTGTTATTATAAATATTTATATACCTATCCCTGTGTGCAAAATATGTTCTCATAGATATTACATAGTAGTCATATTGAGACATGTGAAGTTTATAATTTTGATTCAGATACTTCTCTGAGACATTACCGTGACGCTTAATGCCCGGTATTGTGAAGTTAGTGCATGCGATGTCGCAAAACAATGGTCTATGTTCCGTCACATTGTAACTTCCATGTTCGATCATTCATTTTCATCACATAGAGTTCACATAAAGTTCCCATAGAGAATTTTCCAGCAATAAAAAATCATTTTTTTTTTTTTATATCGTTTAAATAGTAATTCGTCGTCCACGATTTTTGAGAACCTGACACTCCTAATCTAAAGAACCCTACGCCTAACCTACTGGGACTACCTACCAATATATGAAACTACGTATTATATGGTTTATTTAGCTTCTTTATCAAATACTAACTAGTTTGGTAGACTGTATATCTATATATCATAACAAACGTGTTATAATGCAATCACAATGATGAAATTTCTGCTAAAAGTAAACTAATATGAATAAAAAAATGTTTTATTTACCTGTTTTGAAGACATTTTATAAATAATTTTCGGATTATTGTAGTAGAAAGAAGTAAAGGATTATCTGGACGTTAAAGTAGATACTCACTGTACAGAGTTCACTGTTTTAATGTTATTAGTTATTACTGGTGGTGTGTGTTTAAAACAACAAAACTCAACAGTAAAAAATTAAAAAATGAATAGCCAATAATGATTAAAATTAGAAATATTATATCAGTATCACGATAATCATTAGTATTTGATATTTGACTATTGTCTGTTCCCATCGTACAAAAATAAATACATTCAAAAGGCGACTGGGATAATAAAATATGATTATACTATATTAATAGAATAACGCTTTTATTATACTATATATTATATTAAATAATATATAATTTTTTTTTTTATTTATTTTTTTTAAATATTTTTATTACTTTATAGTATAGTATAGTATATAGTATGTATATACAATATTGATCAGTTTAATAATTAAACATTGCTGTATTTATATGTTATGTCTATGCAAAAACATTATCTATTGACTATTTAGTTTATATATCTAAAAATAGTTAAAACTATAATCGGGTGTATAATAATAATATATACTCTTTTTATTTACGTAATTTTGTAACATCTCTGTTATGTTACATACCATCAATCATTATAACTTCTCAAAAATAACTTCTATGTGATATTATTTAATGGTCATCTCATATACCACCACGGTAGGAAGTTACAGAGTGGTGTCGCAATTTAATTTTTTTTCTCTTACTTCCATTTGAAGGTTGTGCCGTCACTTTTGAAAGTAAAACCAGACGTCACATAGATGGTAACTTCATCTTTATGCATGCAGGGATTAAGCTCAAATTCGTTTATCCTTACTTCATGTCGTCGAGTTCGGTTCGTCAAAACCGTTGTGTCGGACCGGCTCGTTTTTCGTGTTCATTATTCTTTTTTCGCTTGTCGTTGCGGTTTGGAGGATCTCCGTCCATATTCATATTATTCATTGTGTGCAATAGAAAACCCCGTTGTCTATCGTGAATTGGTTGTTTGGTAAATATCGTTCGAACAAAATTGTTATTGTCAACGTTTCTCATATTTATTTCCCCAGTCTAGGGTGGTCATTATTGTTGCAATCATTGTGAGTCGAAGTTTTCATATTCGTCATTTACTGCTGTATACACGTCCGTACTGTTGTTGTTGAATTCATCGTTGGTGGCTGTGACCAGCTAATCGCGCACGCGGCTGTCATTTTTTATTGTATTAATTCATTATTAGGTAACCGGTGCTCGCATTACCTGACATAGCCACATGTGAGTATTGGTCGACCAAATATTTGTATTCTTTTTGTAGCACCAACGGGTTCATAGTCGTTATTATTATTGCATATATTATTATTCCACATATTATTATACATTATTACATATTATTACTATTACATATTATTATATTATTATTTCATTCATTGTGCATTTTTATAACACCTGAGCCATTGTGAGGCCTGAGATTATTATTATTATATTATATTAATTATTTTTTGGTTGACAGTGCAGCACTTTGGGTGGCCTGGCTTCCTGCCGTAAAGGCACCTTAATATAACGTTAAATATTAAAGTCGAGTGCGGCGACAATAACTAAAAATTAAAGAAAAAAATATATGTAATATAATATATACATGAACATGGTTTACATGAGACTATTAAAAAATCACTTTTTAAAGTGAAATTTTGTGCATTACTTAAATTCCCACTATAAATCTATGAACTATCGCAAATATAAATACTTGCTACATTAAAATGATTAAACATCATTTATTATTAGGTATCTATTATCATTTTTAATAAGTCTATAACGTCTGGCTTGTGTTTCAAACAATAATTCGATAAAAAGTAATTCACAAGGCTCAATAGAATAATAAAACTAATAAAGCAGTACACCTTACCACTTACCAACACATAAATATTATTTATTAACTATAAAACGAAGTCAAATTGACCAAATATTTGTTAAAACAACCACATCTTCTAAAATCGTCGCTTTGAACTTTTCAACAATTATGGGAAGAACTTCATCAACCAACCAACCTACTTTTCTCACTAGATGACGATTACGTATACATAATTTTGGTATTTTATTTAACTTTCAGCTCATAACTTTGGTTGCAACTATGTGATGTAGTTTACAACCATGTTCTCCTTTATCTCGTAACCATCAAATCACCGATTATATTACTATATTATTCGGTTATGAATTGGTACTTATGGCTACTAACAATATAAATATTTACCTAAAATTCTTATACTCATTAGCACATTGCAGCATGCAATTTCCAGTATTCGTTTTACTTCAGAATATATTAGGACTTACAAAATATTATTTATTTATTGATTCCAGAGAAAAACTTCAATAATTATTCAAATCTTATATAATTTAAATTTGAATACCTGTACAGAGTGATTTACTAAGTATTCTCACTCCAATTTTTTCCTTTAATAATAATGTATTTATTCAGATTCTAACTACTGAAATTTTTAAAGATACTTAAAGACCTAATTAATAAAATTCTTGACATTTTGTATACTACTTATGGATTATTCTGTTGTAATACAAACTTTTATTTTTCAAATAAAAACCAATTTTATTATAAACTATTGAGTGGATATATTTTTTTAAATTGTAATGTACTTAGTTCAAAATTCAAACGAGTAGTTATTTCTCAGTTATTGAAATATTTAAAATTAAAATAATAGTTTTTAAAAATTATTTAACAAAAATATAAAAATAAATGTAATGCCTATTGAATTTGATAATTTCATATTAAAATTATTTTTACAAATTATAAATGTTAATAGATTAATACTAATTACTAAAATATTCAAATCTGAAATCACCATGATATTATTATAAAATCTCAACCCATTATCATAACCTTATTATCCTTAGTACATAGAGTTAAATAACTCAAAATTAGTCATTTGAATTTAGAATTTTATGCATCAAAGTTTCCAGAAAAATTAACCGGTAAATAAATTATTGTTCATGTTGTTGCCATTTAAAAAACAGAAGTTTGTATCTCTACAGGACACTTCTTAATTCTTAATAATGTAAAACAAATTACAAGAATCTGAAATTATTAAAGAAAAGAAGAAGAGTATGCTTGATTAATCTCCTTGTGTATTATATATAAACGTTTTCGACATTTTTTTTTTTTAATTAACTTCATAGCGGACAAACTATAATTTGTAAACGTTTTTTTTCCTATATTTTCGTAATAACATTTTTATTTTAGTTTACAATAATCAATTATTTTTAATATTGATTTAGAAGGTTATTTTTCAAATTAAATAAGAAAAGTTATTACTGTTATTAGTTTTTACTTATTACAATGACAACTAGGTAAGTTATTAATTAAAAAATTAACTAACAACATATAAAATTGTATTTTAAAATTATAATTTTGTATTAGATCAACATTTTTTTTTTTTATTATTAATATTTGTCTGTACCCTTGGGCACAATAAGAATATGTGATATAATATTTATTTTATTTTTTTTTTTTTTAACATGAAAACGTGAGGGAAGAAGTCATCCAGTGAAAGCACTAACTATTTGTTTATTAATATTTTTTTATTTTTTTATTTTATATAATTTTAATTTATTCATTTAGTAAATCTAGAGACCATTTTCTTTTCAGTCGTCGTGTGGGATTGCCTGGAATTGTGCGAGAAGCTAAATTGGATATAGGGGGATTAGGATGATATGGAAGTCTGTTATGGAATCTTTTGTAATATATTATTACTTCATCGTGAACTGTTTTAATATTTAAATATGTATGCAGAGTGTAGTTGGAGACATATGGAGGGGCGTTAGTGATTAATCTTAAGATTTTATTTTGAACGGTTTGGATTTTATTTATATTAATTTATTTTTGCATTACCCCATAGCTGTAGGCCATAAGTCCACATGGACTTGATTAATGATTTATATATGAGAAATTTGGTGTTTAGTTTAGTATGCTTATTATATATTAGTGTTTTAATTGAGTGAAATCGTTCGTTTAGGGCGAGTTTTTTTGTTCTGATATGAAGTCCCCAGGTGAGGCAACGGTCAAAGGTTAGGCCTAAGTACTTAACCGATTGGGATGAAGGGATTGATATGTTACTAAGGGAGACTTCTAGGCAGGGAGGGAGACGAAGAGTGAACATAGTGTGAATGGATTTTGATTGGTTGACTTGAACTAGCCATTTTTCATACCAAACAGACATTAGGTCAAGGTGGTTTTGAAGATTTAGAGAAACAATGTGTGGGTCTTCGTGTACTGATATAATTGCCTTATCATCCACAAATTCAGCTACAGATGTTGTTGGAGAGGTAGGTTGGTCTGCTGCATCCTTTTTAATTTTATGGATGTTCGCCAGAGCAGAGAGCGCACTTGGGTAGGGCAGAGATCATCATAATAGTAAAAGAAACATCAATTCTTGTGAAGTTGATTTGAAAATATCATGAAAATAGACTTGTAAGCCTGTAAGTACAGTTGTATAATCTTATATTTTTAAATTTAATCATCTTTATTTTACTTAGAGAGTATGCTTTTTAAATTTGATTTTTCCCATAAGCTCATAATATTTCGTGCTGCTGTTTGCTTGGCTGCTGATCGTTTGTTACTGTGTCCTGTGAGTGAATATTATTTTCGATAAATTGATCAAATAATAATTTAGGAAAATTATCTTTAACTATATACCTATTGCAACTAAGTCCATTGCATTGCACTGGATTGAATAATGATTTACCAGTTTGTAATCATTTTTAGGTTGTGATAAAAGTGTATATATTGGTGTTTGATACAAATTTTTAACGCATTCATTATGCAATTCCTCCACATAGTTTGCTTTAAACTTAATTAAAGGACTGATGGCTTTTAATCTATACAGAAATGTATGTAATATGTACTTTCAAATGCACAACAAATATATTTAATATAATTTTTTTACTCTTTGTCGTTAAAAGCTCTTATATGCGAAGAAAGAGTTCGGTTTTTCTGTTTTCTTATAATTGAACGCAACATTTCAGCAGCTGTGTTTACTTTTGCCTCATACTTGCTAGTACCACTTCCTTCAACTTAAGATACTCTTTATAAAAACATAATTAATTACATTATTCACTTACCATACATCCCGAACAATGAACACGAGTAGTTGTAAATAAATTGTTGACCCGATGTATTTCTTCTAAGGAACCGATATGTTGGAGTGATCCCGTGATCTACAATTCTGTTTTTTAACAATTCCATTGGTGATCTCAAATCAGATAAAATGAGTTCGGTTTCTTTGAATTTAAATTTATGTTCCTTAACAACAGAAATAATAATTGTATTTAAACTAGGTAATTTGACAGTATTTTATTCATACTATTTCTTGTCTTTTTTTTTTAGACATATAATCTAATTTAAATGGTTTCGTTTGATTTTTTATTTCTGAATACAAATCGTCCATTGGAAGATTTAAAAATATTCTTATTTCATTATATCTTTTAACAGCTAAATCTATTGATTTCTCCATCCAATTTATTTTCATTTTTAATTCATTTAATTCTATAATAAAATACCTAATAATATTAATGCTGAAAACATTAATTATATCTACAGTAGAACCCCTCCCATCCGCCCTCGACTAGTCCGCCGCTCCGGTTGATCCAACCATAGTATAATCGATATGAATACTATGTAATTTAAAAATATAATTTGGATTTTCTACTTTATAGAAGATATTATATAAAATAAATTGCTAATTTAATATTTCTCTTATCGCTTGTCCGCTTTAGTACTCCGACCTCTCTCGTATCGTTTCTATCGGTGTGCGTATTTTGAAATATTGCAGTTAAGTCTAGAATGTAATTTGCTAAACAAAAATCTATAACTGACTTTTTTCTAAGTAATGTAAAATATAATTAATTTCTGATATAATCTTGTATGTAATATGTAAATAAAAAATGTTCTCTATATTCTGATAATACGACCTTTTTCGCGTTCCGACCACACCCCCAGTTCCGAAGGTGACGGATTAGAGAGATCTACTGTAATATTATTTATTCATTTTATGAATTTCAAAATATTTTTTGATATTAATAGTAGGTTATAAAATTAAAAGTAATATAATATGAATTTTTTTTCTTAGTTTTTGTTAAATCGGTAACATATACAGATCATATGTTATTAAGTTATTATATCATATAATATTATTTAATAAAAACATAAATTCATATTAATTAATTGTTTAAACAACATATTTTACATTTTTCATTTTGAAATAATTTGAGATGCTAATGTCATGGAAAATTATGTACCAAAATAATTTACTTTGTTTGTCTTTGGGTGTATTATTATTTGATATTAACCAAGCAGATTTTTCTATTTGTATCAAACCATTTAATTGATTAATAATGTCATGAACTGACTTTATGCGCTCATTAAAATCATCCAAAATCATCATTTCCTTGGAAACGGATCTGTAAACTTCTTAATATAATTATATGATTGTAATATTATTTTATTGATAGTATTAATTTTAAAAATGAGAATTTTTGTTACCTACTATACTTACTAGAATCATTCAAACGATCCTTATCAATTATGAGCTTAGTCATAAAATTATTAACTCTTGTAAACATTAATTTTTTTTCCTCTTCATATAGTTCAGACTGACACGAGTGTTTTGACTGACTTTTGACATTTATCCAGTTTTTAGTTTGTTTTTGTTTAAGATCATATCTAGCCAATCGCATTAGATCATTTAGCTATTACACAAATCAACATTATTTATTAGGTAAATAACTCATTTTATAAATTTCTTTTTACATCGTTTTCCATTGTGTTTGTGTTTGTTATTTCTTATATTTATCTACAATTTACAAAGCTAGATTAAAAAGTAGTGTAAATTTAATAATTTTAATTTACTGTTGATATTAGAAAGGAAGAAAATGTGTTGTTAAATTACTGTTATTGTTTAATCACATTTGAAACTATAGAAACCAAGCAAACACCTATCCATAATATAAGTCATAAGCTTAAATTTTTTAAATTAAATGCTTGAAATTATCATTTAAAAAAAATATATAATTTATATCATAATATCTAAATATACTGCATCATATAAACAAATTCGTTAAATATATTTCTTTGGATTCCTGTTGATGCAATTTGTAATTTTTTACACTTTATAGCAATATGTAGAAGATTGATCGTATGTACATATATGCATAAATATCATGAACTAAACAAAGTAAGGGGTTTTTATTTTATTTTAAAATAAGAAACTTACCATTACTACATAAAATCATAAATAAATAGTTCAATAAGTAAATGGGATATACTGTGATTCAAAACGGTCGCGGTGTAGAAAATATTGTTTACACACATTTACAACAATGTAGGTACTATACTTTTTTAAAGGTATTGTAAATTGTCCTCTCATATTGTGGTGTTCTTTGAACTAATGGGATTACGGGTAGCATAGAATTTTAATATTAATAATTTTTTAAAATAGAAATTTTGACTAAGTACATAAATTATATACATGTATAATTAATAATAATTTTAAAAAAAAAATCGTGCACAGATGTCACATACATTTTTACTTTAAAAATAAACGGCTCTCTAATAATTTTAATATTTATTATACCTATTATAATCATATTATAACCTAATAAATATAATTAAATCTCGTGTTTGACATCGAGTTGGAAATTTTTTGATGTATTTACGCTGGTGGTGGGCCGGAGGAGCGTAGGGGGAACTGAGCTCCTCAAATATTTAATTAACCTTCCCTCCACGAAAAAAAAAAGTTATTTATATAAACACCAAAAATGTTTGACCTCGCTCCCATTGACATCTTAATGAATTTCCGCCCATATTTATTTACCTATATAAATAGTTTATTAAACCCACCACTGTCCACTAATTCGAAATTATTTGCCGGGAAAATTTTTTATTTGTAGCTTGTAGCATATCAATTATACCACATGTACCGTATTTTATTACTTTTATATCTACTTACAGCGTTTTTGAATGCCGAGTGACCATAAGTTATCATAACATATCTGTGTCATATTGTTATAATATTATAACAAAAAATTATTCGACTAGAAAATTTACTAAATTTTGGTTGTTTTTACAATATCATTATTGTTATTAAATTTATTTATTTTTATTGCACTATACAAACAATGTCAGTTTGGCTACACTGTAATCATGTAATCTCCTTGTACAATGCTACAATGTCGTTATCGTATCAATATGAAGATGAATAGATAAAATGATTGTCATATGAATAGCAGGGTAATGTTCTATGGCAATAGTGTTTTATAAGTGTAGGTTTACTACTATAGTTTGTTTTTTTTCCTATGGTTTTCACGCGTTTCAGATATGTCCGTTTATTTTTCAATACCACAAGTGAAATAACTATTGATTCGCGTACTAACCTAACACTGTAAGTGTAATCAAACGTTATTATTCTTATAGAGTGTGCTCAAATTGGTTTTATTCGCCCGACGCTGGACATCCAAATTACTTATACTTACCTATTTGGACATGATCGTTCAAAGGACTGCAGTTCATGATTGACAACGAATCAAAAAAAAAACATCCAAAGTGCACGCGAGGTACTTACATGGTTTTAGCTTAATTTGTATATAATTAGACTTAATTAAAAAATGGACAACATTAGGAAGTTCGCCGCATCCTCGGTTGTTTCGTCTTGTAAATTTTTATTTGTTTTCTGACAACTCGTGTTCAATACCAAACAATTAATTTGGTTTGCATTGGTCCAGTTCTCATGTGTCTCATTACCGAAGACTTGATTAAATACACTCATGATTATTTGTTAACTTTACATGGCAGAAAACACCTCCATTTCCAATAACAGTGGTATTGTGGAATTTAACCACCATTTAGTCACTGATCAAGAAACAAGGATGAGTGGATCTGGTGGATCAAATAGTGGTGGAACATCAATTGGTAATCCAACTGCTAATGTTGGCACTGTCAGTGTTTTATTGCCAAGTGGTGGTGGGACAAAACGAAGAAGTGCTGTAGGTAATAATAGCTCTCACAATGGTGGATCTGCTTCAAATTCTGCATCTATATCTGCTGATTTAGCATCACTTTTTGAATGTCCTGTTTGTTTTGATTATGTGTTACCTCCAATATTGCAATGCCAAAGCGGACATTTAGTTTGTAGTACATGTCGACCAAAACTGAACTGTTGTCCAACATGCCGTGGTCCACTTGGAAACATACGCAATTTAGCCATGGAAAAAGTAGCATCAACAGTCATGTTTCCTTGTAAATATTCGTCATCAGGTTGCCCTGTATCATTATTACATTCTGAAAAAGTTGAGCATGAAGAATTATGTGAATGTCGCCCATACACTTGTCCATGTCCAGGTGCTTCCTGTAAATGGCAAGGTGGATTAGAGCAAGTCATGGAACACTTAATGGTTGCACATAAATCTATTACAACTTTACAAGGAGAAGATATTGTATTTTTAGCAACAGACATAAATCTTCCTGGTGCAGTAGATTGGGTCATGATGCAATCATGTTTTGGCCATCATTTTATGCTTGTACTTGAAAAGCAAGAAAAATATGAAGGGCACCAACAATTCTTTGCTATTGTGCAATTGATTGGTAGCCGAAAGCAATGTGAAAATTTTGCTTATAGGCTAGAACTTAATGGTCATCGAAGACGTTTAGCATGGGAAGCTACACCAAGAAGTATACATGAAGGAGTTTCAACAGCAATTTTGAATTCAGATTGTTTGGTATTTGATACAAGTACAGCACAACTCTTTGCAGATAATGGAAATTTAGGAATTAATGTAACAATATCAACAAATGTGTAAAGCACATACATTTTTGTGAATTAGTATCCATGAAAAATAATGAAATGTTTTTCTATTTATGACTTACTCCTAACAAACTAATTAAAATATGAATGTAAATAAAATAGAAATTAATCAACTGTGCATTCTGGAGAGATAACTAATGTGTGAATCGATTTATGGTGAGAATATATATATATGTATATGTATTTCTGATTATTTAAAAAAAAATCCAATACTTGTATCATTTAGTTGACAACATTTGTTAAGTAATCAGCCTGAAAATACAATTTAAAGATATTTATTTTTATTACTGAGTATCTTAGTTTTTTAATAAGACTTGAGTACATGCATATATCTCACATATTCTGTAAAATTATAACTATGAGAATAATATTTGTTTAATAATGAATTTTGTTTATATTTCTGTGAGTTTTAATATTCACTTACATTTGTTATTCATTTAAAATAACTATTTACATAAAAAAAAATATATATATATATATCTAGGTTTATTATTAATATTATTTATTGCTATACCTACGTTTAAAATTAATAAATAAATAAGTCAAAACTAAATAATTAAATCAGTTTAAATTTTAAAACATATTTAATTTTTTTCGCGTGTCTTTAATTTTTTATTCATTAACATAAAATATATCATTACTTTTCTACAGCATACTTAGACATGTGACTTTTGTTTGTCTGGATTTTTTTCATCACTTGTATACTCACCATACTATGACTTGTGATTTACAGAAAAAAATGTATAGGTATTTTAATAATGAATTAGTAATTTTGTATAATATTATAAATATGTACCTAAAGTAGGTATAATTGAATCTAAATATAATTTACAAATCATAAAAATAATAAATTGTCATTGTTTCATATATTTTCGAAATAACTTATGAAACATATCATTAAATAAGCTAAAAATGTTAAACTTAATTATTATTTTAATAATTCATGTGTCTCAAATGTACAATTCACTTTATGTTTAATATTATAGTTGATGTTAAATTGTGTTTCTCATTAATAAATATTTAAAAAATAACTTGAGATTTTTTTTTCTTTTAAATGAAGACAATTGTATTATTAATAAAGATATTATCTAAAAATGAATGCCTAGTAATGCTAGGTTACAATCATTAATTTTCACATAATGTAAATTAATTTTCTAAACTTGAATGTATTTAATAAATTATTAGGTACCATAGTAGGTTTTACTTTTCATTATTTTGTTGTTTTTTTTTTTTTTTTTGTTTATTACCCATTTGTGTTCATTTTATATGCTATTTTATCCAGGGGCAGATTTAATACAGCGGTGCCCAAAAGCATTTTAAGCTATCTCTCTAGACCTTAATATGGCCTTACTTATAATAAAGATATAGTGGTGGTATATAATATTTCAAAATATATGTTATACATAATTTTATATGTATTTATAATCCTTAAAATATTATGTGCATCCCAGGCAGTTGTCTAGTATGCCATGTATCTGCCCCTAAGTTCTTTTTTACTTATTATAGTTGTATGGTCATTAACAAAAGTGTCTTTTATAACTTAAAATTGTATGTACTAATTTATTATAATTTTATATGGTTAAAAATATTATTTTTTTTTTAATTATTATTATTATTATTGCAATATATGAAAAACAAACCTTTTAATAAAATTACTTTATGTAAGTGACTAAAATATAGTGTTTTGGTAAAATTAGATATTGTTTTTATTTACTTATTATGAAGGCATTATTATAAATTACGTGTTTACTACCTATACTTAATAAGTTATAATTTATACATTTCAATTATTTTTTTTATTATTTTAATATATACAGACAAGTGTTCAAGTTTGTGTTACTTGTAAGTACCTAGTATATGTCTTAATTATTGGATTTTTTTTTTACGAATTTAGTAATTTATTAATTTTTGTTTAAAATAATGACTTTTTATAACAAATCAATTTATAAAATATGTATTTATGTATTGTATATGTATACTTAGATTAAGGAAATAGTCTCGACAATAACTATGTTATTATAAATTCAAAAATTATGATTTGTTAAAGTGACACATCATTTAATTGTGCAATTTTATTGTTGCATAGTTGCAGTAACTTGGGATTATTTAATTAAACAAATACAATAACTGTTTCATTAAATATAAATTTATTAATATTTTAATAAAATTGTATGCTTTAAAAAAATTAATAATAAATATAGATTTTTTTTTTAATTACATATATTGATTTAATTATGGTGTTTATCAATGATTAATTATTTTATAAACTGTTCAAAAATCAATCTGAAAAGGTTAAATATTTTAACTAAATTCAAAAGCTTTTAGGTTTGGTACAATGTCATTGTTGTGGTAAAATGCAGCTTAACATAATTTACTTGCACCGCAAATAAAACATATTTTATCACCACCCTGGCAATGTGTGTGTGTGTCTTTTTGAGTATAAAACTTTGTACCAATAAAATAATGGAAAGCACTAAAAAAATTAAATATAATAATTATTAACAAATAAAGGATTTTTTAGAGTATGATTCTGGTTAAATATAAAATTTGAATAGCCTGGTTCGGTTTAGGTTTGAATAATCGGTGCAAGTTTGTTTAATTTGAATTTTTAAATCAATTTTTATTTCTTCATTAACTTTTTTATAGTCATAAACAATTATTATTAATTTTATTTTGAAACCTACTGAAATTTATAATATTATATAATAATTAAATAATTAAAACCTTTTTGATTTTTTAAATGTACAACTTACAAATATTTCAATAAAACAGTTTAATTATTTAATAAATTTACTATTTCTCAACATACATAATATATGAGTCGTATCTATGTAAATCAATCATAAGTGATTTATATTATAAGTTTTTTTTTTTAATATTACAAAAAATACATATTTTGTGATCTTTTGATTTTGTTTATTAAATAAATCTAAAAACACTTAATACATATATTTTGTTATAAAATCTAAACATACATCTTTCATCAAATTTTGTTTGTTATACTTTATTTTAATATTTAAAATAAGCAAATTGCAATACAAAAATTAGTTAAATTATGTCAACAAATTCTTTTGCAAGAAGATAGCGAAAAATATAATATTAGCTGTTAATTTAAAATAAAATTGCATTTAAATGTAATGATCAATGTATGTTTAACTAATTTAAAATATAAATGTTTTTGATTCAAATGTGTTTTTTATTATAACTTAAATACCTGGGAGATTTTAATATTTAGATCACATAACTTATAAATTATGATTTAAGGGTGAGACTTACTTATCTTAAATATTATTGTATTAAATAAAAAAATAACTAATGACCATGTTGTAATTATAAATAAATATAAACAAAATTTATAAAATAAAATTTTAATAATTGTATGGATTTATTATTTATAAATTATAATAATTTACTTTTGACTATTCATTTTTCCGAATTTTAGTTTACTCAAATAGACAATAATAATATATTATGTAATATTAAGTTTGAATTATTCAGTAGTTTTAAATTAATATAATAATATTCATGGCTATTAAAATCAAGGACTTAACATATAGCTTATATGTCTATACTTTATATTTAACATTTAGCAAAAATTTGTAATTTGATATTTTTCATACAGATAATTTTATTAAGTAATTTGGCACTGATAAAACAAGCCATTAAGCAGTTAGGTACTATTTATTACTTTTTAATTTACTATATATTCAAAAGTGTTAGCACCTTAAAACAAGAAAAATTTACAAAAATATATACCTAATAATTTGATCCAATCTTAACGTATTAAGTAAAATTTCTTATTTTCACTCAGCTAAAACTTTTATAAGTACTATTTACACTATTATAACCTATATTGAAACATATATAGTATCTTAATAGTAACATATTAATATCAGTAAAATTTTATTCAGTAAATCTATACATGAATAGATCTAATGTTAGACTAATACCAGCAATTTAATTCAAATTATTATAATAATTAACTTTTAAAAAATACATAATGATCAAATATTGTAACAAACCAAACTTATTGTATAGTTGATGCACAAAAAAATAATCACAGCTTTTACCCTAATAAATGTTAAGTCTTTGGTTTTGTTTCTTAGAATTATATGATACAAATCACAAATTAAATTAGGAAAATAACAATCGATCATACATACTACTAAAAACACAAATGTAAATCCCTTTCAAACCAATACTTAATGTACAATAGTTTAAAAACAATTTATAATCTCTTTACTCCGTTAACAATGCTGTCATGTAACTCTTGGGTGAGTGGCACAAACTTCCTTCCCTCTTTAAAATATATAGGATCCTCAGCAACTTTGGTAAGATCAAATCCATCATTTTGGATATCATTTTTTTTCATCTTGAACGTACCTACAAATTTATAAAATAGTACAATTAAATTTACTAAAAGGCTAAATAAAAAATAAGCTAACCCGTCAGCGACATAGGTGTCTTAATAATTCGTAAAAATAGCGGTTGTGCATAGGCTGGCAATGATTTGTTAATTCCAGCAGATAATTCATCCAAATCTAAGTCATTAGATTCATCTACAATAGCAACCATTCCAGCTTTTCCTTCTGTGTGTGGTATCTATACAAATTGGTAGTACAACAATTTAAATCAAAATATGGAGTATTTTTTTAATTTATTTAATTACCTCTACTCCATAAACTATGCAATCTTTTAATGTAGCTATATTACTAATAGCAGCTTCCACTTCTGACGTAGAAACATTTTCACCTTTCCACCTATTAATTTAATCTTAATCGATTAAATAATACTTAAAATTTTAAACTATTAAAAATTAAATACAAAAAGAACATAAGCAGTGATTAATTGTGTGAAAGATGGAGACAACACATGCAGGTTTAGCATCCTCTTAAGGCTGAGAAAGATCTATCATGAATAAATGTTGATATTGGAATAATGTAAACATTTTGACGACATATTAATAATAAGATAAGACTCTTTCTTTTTTTTTCTATTTAATTCCAGAATTTAGGAAAATATTGGTTGCAATTTATTTTGTTCTTTCACTTTAACGTGTATAATGAAATAGATAATTTGAAATAAAAGCATATTATCTATTAAAATTTTTCTACTAAATCTAAAATCACAATTTATTTAGATTGTTGAAATTTTTAAAACACATAAAAGGAGTAAAATTTTAACCATATTTTAATTAACCATTCTTAAAATATCATCGATCCTACATTATTTGAGCATGCACACATAACATATAGCATAGTACATAAATACATAATGGCAAAACTCAGAAACGTAGATCATGCATAGTATATACTTAAACTATTTTTATTTACCTATCAATAATTATATTTAGTTAA